CCCGCGAAGGCTGTGTGCAAGCATAAGCTTGTAACTGTTTGCTAGTTCTAGTTTCTGATTTTTTTTAAATTACATTTCATTGGGTGGAATAGAGCAGGGATTACCTTGGTATGATCGCGTCAAGTCATTCTTAAATATCTCAAAATGTAGTTGATAGTTGCAGAGATTCGGCCAACTCAGGTTTTGTATTGCGATCATCTTAGATTCGCCATACTGGAGAATTTTTAGTCCCACGTGAACCCGACCAAGAACTTTGACAACTTTTATTTGATATACCCATCTCTAACGCTTTGGTCGAACAGCCTCTGTCCTGCTTGGAAATTGCCGCTGAAAATATAAAAATGCTGCTTGGAAATTTTGGAATTGTACTCCACAATTCCAAAATTTTTTATTTTTCTCGTACACAATGAACTCTTTGGACCACTTTTCCCGTAGGTCATTTTAAACGGTCTCTATTCCTTTTGGGAGAACAACTATCTAAATGTCTACATCAGTCAGTAGGTGGTAAACGAGCTACCTACATGTAGTATGTTGCGCGTTGCGCTGGCCCGCTAAAACGGCCCGCGAGAACTGTGTATTAGGTTTGTGACTGTTTGATGGTTACCGTTTTTGTTTCAGATTTTTTTGTTTTTGGTTAAGTTTTTTTGGGTGGGAGGGAGCCAGGTAGTTGGTACGGTCGCATCAAGTCGTATTCTGAAATACTTCAGAAGAAACTACTCGTGTGTCATCAATCAATTCAGTAAAGTCAGTTTTATACAGCGGCCATCTTGGATTCGTCATATTGGAAAATTTTTGGCCACGGTAAAACCTAATCAGGCTTAAACACTTGACTGGAAAGATTAAGACAATTCTCGTAATACCATTTCGTCATATGGTCGGCGATTAAGACATAGGTCTAATCTTTCCATTTCTCGTAATGCCTGTTCATCATGTGGTCGGATAAGTAATACATTTAGTTCTAAATCCCAAACTGTAATGCCAGCTAATGTTTAGTATAGGTATTTAACTAAACACTACACTACTTACCTGCCTATATTTACTAAAAATGGAAAAATAAACAAACCTTAAAAAAAATTAAACCTACTTCAAAAACCATAAAAAGTCACTACACTAAAAAGTAAAAACTAACAAAATAGAGATTTAATCCAAACGACAACAATACATGTAATACTTTAAATTTATTTTTGTCTTATTTCGTTTTGCACACAGTAATATAATTACTTATTAATCAATGTATCTACATTTGCGAGTGCATGCGACTGCTTGCGTTAGGTAGGGGGTGGGTTAGGATTTGGGTTGTGGGGGTTAGGGGTGAGTTAAAATCAAGTCAATTGAAATCAATTGCAATTAAAATCAATTGATTTCAATTGAATTGATTTTTTAATCTGGTTGAATTTCTGAATGAAATTTAATTGATTAACGCCCAACACTGATGGTAACTCCACAAAACGTAGCAGCGTGACTTGTATGTGTGTACTACCACCGTGCGCCGTGTACAGACGAAAAAAATACTAAACCGCGATCCTGATATAAAAATATCAATTTATAACATTGACCTATTTATACAATTAAATATTTTGACAAAGGTTATTTGAATATAGAACGAGAACATTGTGAATCAAATTAATCAAATTATCTGTCTAACTTGTAGTTATAACTGAAATAATAAAGTGACAACTTATGCTCTGAGCGAACGTGTAGGTGTTGATGCTGCGCCGAACAGACGGGAGCTACACTCTTGTCTTGTTGTACTATGATACAAATGATACAACAGAAGATGTAGGAGAAATATAGTACATTATTGCAGAGGTCAGGACGTAAGGGTTTGCTGGACGAGTGCTAGCGAGATCTTAAATTAACACGAGCCATACTACCCGTTCCCGCCAAGGATGCGTGATGAGGCATGTATAGTGTTTTTCTGAACTTTTGATGATGTGTTTGAATGTGTATCCATTACTGTATTTTCATTATTACTCTTCTCTTTAGAATTCATTTTCATGACGAAAATACAAAAAAGACGAAAAATCAGAAAATAATACCAAATCACTTTAGTTTATTTTATCGTCTTATTCTTTTTTTTTAAAGTAATTATTTTTAATACTCGCTGGCGTGTGAGTTTTACTTTGGCCTCTTTGCGTAGTTCATTATTAGTAGATAGATTTAAAAGTTTAGAGTAGCGGATAATCCACTATTTTCATACTTTGCAGGCTTTGGCTGGGAAGTAATCGCATGGTCCAAAAATTACAAACTTTCCGTGTTCGTTTTTTGAAAGTAATTCAAATATTTCCGAGCATGTTTGAGAAATATATATTTTTTAATTTCGCATTATTAAGTAATAGTACTAAGTAGGTACTCGCTCCACCTATAAGCTCAAAACTCTTTGTTTCTTAAAATTTTTATTGAACGTTTTTATACTTTTCATTACATAGGCGGTGTAAAGCGAGATTGAAATAAACCGGCCAATTGGGGAAGATCAAATATATTACTCGCTCGTTATGCATAATCCGGTGCAATTTCGTTCAGCGTTGGTTACGTTTTTATAGCGATGTACACTGCCATAATTTTCGTTACCTACTTTAATATTGCGTTATCCTTCTAAGGTTAAAGTGTGTTTTACAAATTGGCTTACCTTGGAGCTACTTTGTGCACATGTAGAGACACAGACTCCCGTACACACAATTGGATCCACCTTACACTTATGTGACCTTGCATTTTTATTCTTAAAGGATTAGAATACACAAATATTTTCAATACACGAAAATGACGTTTAGTACAGCTTCAAAGTTGATCAATCAAACATTTTTTTAAGCTTGGACATTTAATACTAACAATGCATGGTGGCTTGAATCATTTTCTCAATTGTTTTATTTTATATATATATTTTAATTTTGTTTTATTTTATTCACACTTTGGCCTTAGGTTATTTAACAACAGTATGAGCCTTAGTGATATCATCATCAGAGTTGGCTCGGCGGCGTCCTTCAGCCTCTTGGCGTGGATGCCGACCATTTAAGCGAGTGAGCGAGCCCTTCGGACATATTGGTAAGCCTTGAAGTTCTTTTCTTCCTCGGTGATGAGGCGGGCTATGGACTTGGGTGCTGCTTGTTATACAGGCGTCAGAGGACCACGAAGCTGAATGGGCAGCTTGTGCTCTTCCTCATAATTATGTACCCGGGAGTGTAAACAATGGATACAGACAATGGAATAAAATAATATCTGAGCTTTCTAAAGAGTATTAGAAACGATGACCATGAAATCAAATACACTTACAGTTAACTTCGTAGTTACTCTAACTGAAGCAGTGACAGTAAAGACACTTTACCACTAAGATTGTCTTTGTATTGTGTGTGACAATTGTTACCGTTGTCGACTTTTGGCGCAGGCACTTGCGGCACTGACGACGTAAGGACAACTCTTAAGGATGAGAGGATACTTTGTCAGTGCCGCAAAGGAAGAAAGGTCTCAAGTCTCCTGTGATTGCGCTACTCTTTATATACTTCAAGCAGGAATACAGCACAGCTCCTTTATGGCGAACGTATATATGTATGTAGGAAAATCAGTCAAAAAAATTAACGATCATGCACGTATATACATATTATTATATACAAGAAATACAAGAATTATAGTTGTTTTAAATCGCTAAAAAAGATATTTTATAATACTCTGCTTAGGGTACATTGGGCTACGTTGGCGACCACATAATTGATTAATATTATACTTTTCGATGAAAACGCTGTGTGTTCTAGCCTTAGAGAAATTAAAATGCAGTAACTCGGTCTACAAGATTTATTGTAAGAGATGATAAAAGTGGAAAAGGAAGGCCCAAAAGGACCTACGTAACTATATAATTTTAACGGTAATCGGTATGAAGTTTAACAATAAGGAAATGAAAGTAATTTATGATTTATGGGTTAGTCCTCGCGTTTCAAGAATTTTGGTGGGAGTGACGACGGATCGAACAAACGTAAGCAATAGTGAAGGAAAAGAGAATTAGAGAACTATTCAAAATTTCAAAAATAAGTGACCAGGAACCAGAATAAAGGATGATAAAAAGTTATAATGATCTTGGAGGAGGTTAGTATCGTGACAACGACATACTGATATCGGACTTTATAGGAAACATTCTGTCAATTAGGCCGCCGGGGTTAACGTGACCGGAGTAGCGATGTCACACTATATCATATTACACTGATTAAGTCACAAAACCCGCACTAAATCATGCTAGTCGCCATTCCAATAATTTTACTTTTTACCAAACCCTCGGATTTTTCTCTAAATTTCCTGCACGATGGGTGAAAACACATTAAACATTCAGCTCTTAAGTAAACCTGTCTAAAATCGGACATAAATAAAATAATCGAAAGTCACAAAAGTGGTGAATACCATTTGACGTGACGTAAAGATATACTAAATACCTAGCTCACACATATTTAGAACGGCTTTTGCATTTTTTTAATGAGATTTTTCCACTGGCCCCAACACAAGTTGGTCTAATATTTCGCTTGATAAATGTGCCCCTCTGAAATGTTACACGTATATAGCTCTTTTTGTGATGCCCGCCTGCTCAACACGACCGTAATTATTTTTGTGTTTCATTTATAAGGATGCTTTACTGATTCATAGGAGAATTTGATTTATATATGAAACTGTAGGTACCAAAATGAATATGGCAATTTTATGAGACAGCTTTTAATAGCAATTTATCGTAAACATATTATGAAGGTTGTAATCGCATAAACGTCCCAATTAGAAATTCTATATCTTACATTCGTATAGGGTAAACTCAATTAAAAGCTATTTATGGTCCATTACAGGAATTAAAGTTAACTGAATTTTTCAAGTTTCGCTGTGCTATTAAGAACAGCGCATGGCGTCGGCACTGCGCCTAGTTTGTTTCAGCGGCTATTATATTCCTAAAGTAATCACACAAAATGCTTAGCAATGGTACAATAACGCAAGTAACAATAGTATCGCTCAGCAGAAAAAAGAAACATACACACCTGCGGAAATCGCGGCTCCAGCAAGCATAAATCACCGGATTCATGGAAGAATTGACCCAGCCAAGCCATGTCACCACCACGCTAACGATCTCTTCATGCGCGATGCACTCGGAACATATGCCAGACAACAGATTCACAACGAAGAATGGAAGCCAGCACACGATGAATACACCCATCACGATGCCAAGGGTCTTAGCGGCTTTCTTTTCCTTTGCGAATTTGGCCAATTTTCGAGATAATGAAAAATTCTTAGGCAGGTGCTTGCCGTGAGCTACGTTGCTGAGCCGGGTAGTAGATCGAGAGAGGCCGTTATTCTGCAGTGCTGTGAGTGGTTCGGCATCCTGTTCATCGGGCGTGCACCCACCATGGCACGCGTCGCTGCGCTGGCGTACAGTACCGCCTCGATGGATGCGCAGGGTGAGTTCCAGTTCGCCGCTAGGACGCATCACTTGCTTCGTGCCGATTTTCAACGAACGTGTCTGAATCGTCGCCGCACGGTAGATCCGGTAATAAGTGAACACCATAACGAACAGTGGCAAGTAAAAGGAAATTGTCGATGAGAAGATTATGTACTCTAAATTATCGGTAAAAGGGCACTTTAACATCGGCACATTAGGTTGTCGCACGGCTCGCCACCAAGCGATTGCAGGAAAGGAAATTGCTCCAGAGCATACCCAGACACATCCTATCAGAAAAGCTGCTTTTCGTCCGCTCATTCGCATTGGATATGTAATCGGATCCGTAATCGCCCAGTAACGGTCCACAGATATTACGCACAAGTTGAGAATCGATGCGGTGCTAAACAATACATCCAGCGATCGCCACACGTCACACCAGTCCATCCCAAAGAACCATGTGTGCTCCAGGACCTCGTATAATGCCGAAAACGGCATCACCACTAATCCCACGAGGCAATCGGCAACCGCCAGCGAAGTAACGAAATAATTAGTCGATGTGTGCAGATAACGTTCTCGTATAACGGCTGCAATCACGAGCATATTGCCGAATACAGTTGTCAGTGAGAATAAGAGCAGAAACGAGACGAGAACTGCTCGATCCTGGAGCAATTTTAGATAAATACTCCATCGTATTCCGGGTTCCGGTTGTGTAATATTGAAATCCAGTTCTGTATCATTTTCGAAGGAAGTGATGTTGTAATCCAAGGTGAGGTTGTATGCCTTGGTGACGGCTTCAAGAAGCGCGCGAAGTGGGTTGCGGCTGATGGTGCCCGCCGGCCCGACGACAACGTCCAGTGGATCGCTTTCTGAAAAGCTCATTTTTCCAGCACGTCGTCGCTATCTAACGCCACGAGTATTTATTTTTCGCCTGTTTTGCCTGCAGCCATTTCCAGATTACATTTTTTACAGGCATTGTATGACAAGATTGAGAATTGTGGCACATTTTAAGCAGTATCCGTCCTACTGGATAGTCTAGACGCGAAAGGATTCTGTAACAAAAGAAAACATAACATGAATGCAGGCACTTCGCATTATAAAGATGTTGTAGCTAACGTTACGTGGTGTAAGTCTATTACTGTTTGTATTTTGAAGATAAACATAAACAAGTAAAATGATTTTAGTACTACGTTGGGATAATTCAATTGTGCCCGGGGCCTAATATCGTCCCGTGGAATTGCCGTCATCATCGGCAAGTGTCCTTGGTGAGGTGGGCCATAAATAGCGCTGAGCGAGAGCGGCGAGATCAAACAAATTGTGTTCTATGGGCCGTGAGCAACCCGTCCACATGAGGGCGTCTGAACCAATCACACCCGCCCGCACCCCGCCCTCTCTTCACCCAAACTTTACAATCAACCTAGCTTTTGAGTTGCGTCGCATTCATTAGCAATCAAGAACAATTTGTACCGATATTTTATTTCCAAGGCTAATCCTGTTTATTTATATTGTACGTTTTTAGTGTAAAGTTCCGAACTTATTGAACAAAGTTTATATAATGAGCAAGTTCATCTTCCCGTGGGTCGCTACCGAGGTTTCGAGAAAAATGTGAAAATTGTGTAAAACTTGTAATTGACAATTTACGAGTTAGAACGCTCTCCGGGGCCGTTCAAACTTTGTTAAAACCAAACACAATATTTTAAACCAATCCAGCGACTCCTAATTGTTTACTTGTCTTTCCATATTTCATTCACGGTTTGAAGATGTTTATATCTTTTTATACAATTATAGGGAGCCTAATTTACCACTTCGTTTAATTTACGCACAATATTCTATGAAGTAGATATTATTTAAAAAAAGACTGGGAAGAAAAATAGAAATAAGAAAAATTAATTGCTAATTCGTGACCATTGGTATAATAAAGCCACTTGTGATCATACGTGACGTGCTTTTATCACATAAAAGTCATGAAAATAATACTCTCTACATGAATATTGACCGACCAATGTGATACAAGTTATTAATTTCCTTCGTAGATTCTTAAAACCTATATCCTGCAATGTTGTCATTTTGCAGATATTGCCTTATTACTCAAGAGTGAATTTTCCTCAAACTTTTGTTTCAAACGAATGATTCCGCTAGCCATTTTTGAGAATCTATCTGTATAAAAAAATATTCTCAACTGAATTCGGGCGGTGTTTATATTGCGCATATTAAGATCACTTGTATGACATGAATTTTCACTTATCAAGGGAGCGCGAGAAGCGTACGGGCCGCCCCGCTCCCTGCACCCGCTCCGACCGCTCGAATATTTGATTTAATAAATCTCTTCTGGGTCCAAATTGTTTTGCATCCAAAGGAAAAAATGATGTAAGACGGTTTTTACGTAGAATATTTTATTTCAATATTCTGGAGATTTATCGAAACGCGAGGAACGGCGGGCGACGATAGTTATAGACAATGACTTACTACTTATGAAAACCTCGGTGACACAACAGTTTGCACTTTGGGTGTTAGAAGTGGAGGCCTCGTATTCGGTTTCTGATAGGACCTATTTGGGAAATGAACTTTTCTAAATTGGTTCTGTTGTAAGTGTTCAGGATAGTGCCTCAGAGTGAATTCCATTGCTCTAGTATTCATTGTACAGAGAATTTCATAGTTTGAGATCAGATAACTGGTGTGATTGTCTGACACATTATTATTATTACCTTTATTTATATTTGAGCTTCTTGTACTATCGATTCGTCTTAGAGATAAATAAAAGATTATATACTGTTGACAGAATTATAACGTAAACAGACAATAAAATAAAAATTGATGATAAAATGAGGACTGGTCAACTTTGCTATGGCCTATTTATTATTTCTATTTCAATGAACAAATGTTCACTGTAATAGAAAATTCAATTTATATTCCATTTAAAATTTTTAAAATCCTTTGGGAGCAGTAAGTAAGCCTTGGCGATAAGTGGGTTTCGTCGCGTGACTGGGTCACAAGTCGACATCCACAGAAGGAATCTAATAATATTAGAAAGGAGACGATGGTTCCTGTATTGCTATACCTAGATATTTAAATAGTGACACTCTGCGGTAAAGGAATCTCATTTGATTTGTTAACCAAGTTCAAGACCAATTCGGCTCCAGAATGTGAATCGATTGCGTAGCGCTATATTTGAAAATATTTAAATAAACTTACATACATTTTGTAATTTTACGTGTAATGTAGTACATTATTGCACAGGCCGGGAAGTAAGGGAGTGCTAGACGAGTTTGAGTTACATATATTAATACGAGTCAAGCAAACCCCGTTCCCGCCGAGGCTTATATAGAGCTTTTCTCAAAAAATGCGAGATATTAAAAGACTACATAAAAGAAGATGTATAATAGAAAAATAGTAAAAAAAAATTAACATTAAAAGTAATATTTGACATGTTGGGACAAATGCTAAACGAAAATGTTTTTGTTTTTCCAGGCACATTAATAGTATTGAACTTCTGATGATGTGGATGAATGTGTATTCTTTACTGTATTTTCGTTCGTACTAGAACTTATTTTTCACAACGATAATACAAAATAAAAACGAAAAACTAAAGAATACCAAAGTTAGTTTTCGTATTTCATTGTTAGTCAATTGTTAGAAAACAAATTTAAAAGCTTAGACCAGTGACAGCAATGGATAACCTGCCTTTAGGTTATTGTTCTTAGGATTTTCATTCTTACTTTGCAAGTCTTGGCCGGCAACAATTCACAAGATCCATAAATGACAAACTTTCCGTGTTCGTTTTTTGAAAGTAATGCAAACATTTCCGAGCATGTTTGAGAAAAATAATATTTCATTCGTTCGTTCTCAAAACTGTCGTGCCGCTTTTTATTTGAAATTTTTCAAATATCAAGAATATAAATTTATATTCAAAAGAGATGAAATTAGAGAAATCATATTATAAAGTTTTGTCTTTATATTAATGTATTGCATTCTCTTATTTACTTAGCTAATTCAAAACGACTGACTGTACTAATTTCGTTAGTATTAAAATGAAAATAATAGAGGTAGCTTACAATTGCAGGCTATCGTGCAAAGAATGCAAAAGGCAGATAACGTTATCATCGTCGTCGAATATGGCAAGGAAAAGATATTAGTTACTATCGCGAGCTGATGACTTACAACACGATGACATAACAACTTTCAAAAAATTTGTGTGAATAAGCAATATTCATTCAACGATAGAAAAAGAGAAGATGAAAAGTCACGTAGAGAAATGTCATCAATATACGGCTAGGCACTCAAGACCAACAGAATAGATATTGAGTAATACGCGTGAGCCCTAAATTTTGGACACGACGGCTGTGTTAGCACTAGCATGTTCATTAATTCACCATATGCGGGCATTCGTGGAATGTTGAACAATTTGAACAGTCACGCGTTCTATAAATCAATGCGACAAGCCGATTAATCAATCGCCTTAGTTCGGAAGGTTGGATATTACATCCGCTAAGATATTATGCTCGCAAAAATTCACCCATATTATTTACTCGTGTATAAAAAATAACAGAACCAAGTACAATGCACTCGCTACAAAAAATTACACTATGGTGGACCGTGTGGAAATGACATAATTAGTAGTGCAGATACCAGCTCAGCGTACGAACTCGTCGAGTGTAATAATTTTATATATAAGTACTATGCAACATAAATTATTTGTTACTTTGTGATTATGTGTAATTCGTAACTTTTAAGATTAGGAATGGGGAGCCGCCACTCTAGTGCTTTACGAAATAAACATCGCGTATTTTTATTTAAAGAGAAATTATTTCCTATATGGTATTAAACAAAAAATAAACAAAATATTGAAGAGATATATTTAAATAAATAAGTTCAATTTAACTTTTAATCATTATAAATCAATGTTAAGACAATAAAACTGAAAATAATATTGTTTCCATTGCAAAGCAATATTACTTTAATGTTAAAGTCGTGTCATAGGACGAACGAACCGAGTGAATGAATAGTCACAAAGTTGGCGGCCTACCATAAACTTTCCAAAAACAATGTTATTTCAATGTAAGCTTAAAGTGAGCTTATTACAATATTACTTATATTCATTACCCTGTCAACCAAGTAATGTATTATTGCAAAAGTGATTGAAAGAACGAATGATTTCCCAATATAGAAAAGAGACAACGCTATTGGAGCTATATAATGCTGTCTCTTTTTTTTGATGTTCCGAATCGTGTTATCGTAGTATAATGTTTAAGTACTTAATGTTATTTACATTCAGAGAATTTTGACTGTTAAAAAAAGAAAAGTATGCAATAATAAAATCTATTAAAATTACGTTGTTTTCAATAAATATTCCGCATTGTCATGAAGAAAAATAAATAAAACAAGCTGAGTCTTAATAGTCACGTTGTGAATTCGGAACTATACTCTAGTGTCAAGTGTTAGTTTCACCAAGGAGCGTATATAAGGCGCAGTTATAATTTTACGAAATGAACATCGCGTATTTTTATTTAACGAGATGTTAAATAAAAATAAACAAAATATTGAGAGATATATGTAAATAAACAAGTTCAATTTAACTTTTAATCATTACAAATCAATATCAAGACAATAAAACAGAAAATAATATTTTTATAATCATTAATACAATCGAACACTCAAAAAAAGTCCTTCGATCCGGCCGGACTCGAACCGACGCCCTCCAGGATACCGTGCCAGATGCTATACCGACTTAGCAACGGAACGAACCGGCGGACCTCACGAATTTTTCTATGTGCTTGTTGTCGTGTTCTTGTATTGGGTTTTTCTTTTTTTTAAAATTTTAAATATTATTGTTTCCATTGCATCCGTGTAACTATTTTAAGAATGCTAAATTTGACATAAGGGCA